AATGATTTAAAACAGATTCTTTTTGCAATGAGCTTATTAAAAGTAGAGCCAAATAATATTGCAAACATTGCAATCAAGTCTCTTTAATTAATACAAGTCTTTTTACAATAAAAATATATTTTAAATATAATTATCTGAATAGGTGAATGAATTAATAAAAAGTATTAGTAAATCTTTGTTTAAAAATGTAATATAAATTAGGTATAATTAAATATATAAGGGTCAAAAAAATAAATCACTACAATAAAATATATAAAAATATCAAATAAAATATATATATAATTTATTATATACTATATAATAAATAAATATATAGCAGGTTTTAAACTAACATATTTAAATATGTATAATTAATAGTATATATATATAAATAGTTTAAAGTAGATTTTGAAAACCTAGTTTATGTATTTCTAAACAGTGTTCGAATAAGTTTTAAAGTACAAACTAGTAGATTTAAACAAAATAATATCCCTAGTGATATATGCATATTCAAAATCTGTTTAAATCATGTTTAATTAATTAATCAGATATGCATAAGAATTTTTTTCTTAACACCCAATAATAAGCTACTCTAGTATTAAACATAAAAATACTTAAAACTTTTATATCCTGAAAATAAGCTATTTTTGATTTTTTGAGTTTAAAATTATCTAAAAAAAGGTAGCTTATTTTTAGAAATATATAATATTTTTAAAAATCTACTTAATTAGCTTTGTTAAATTTTTTTTTTAAATTTATTAAAAAACTTTTAATTAATTAAAGTCTAAAGTTTGTATAATTTTAAAGATTACTATTAAATTTTTTTTAAATTTTCTAAAATTTTATATATTTTTAAAGCTAAAAAAAATTTTTGCTCTTAAAACAAATAATAATTTTTACAAATAAATTACAAAATTTATAATAATTAAAATTATAATCCTTTAGTTAAACTATAAAGTTATATTAGAAACTATAAACTTAAAATTAAAAAATTTATTTTATAATACTATAGTACTATAGTACTAGAATATTATAATCAATTAAATTTAAGATTAGGTATAATATGGATATTTTTAATTTGCACTACTAGTTAACTTTAATCAGATCGTTATAAATAATTATTAGTTAGTTATAACTAGTGATTATTTATAACTACTATAAATATTATATAATATAAATTTAACTGCAGCTATTATAATTCATAGATAATATAATTTGTATTGCTTCACTAATACTTAGTAATACCTATAGGATGAGCGAAGCGAACTCTATAGTCACTTTTCTAATAACTTGATATATAGTATTTTATTTTATTTAAACATATTTAATAAGACTAATTGTTTATAGTAAATAATTAAAGTTTTAGTAATTTATATTGCAACTAAAGCTCAATAGTCAGCACTCTAACCCTAATATTTTAAGTTATACAACTTTATTAATAGCACAATATTATTAATACATACTCTAACCTTAATATTTCAGACAGCACAATATTATTAATAGTATAACATTATTAATATATATCCTAATCCTAACATCTTAAAATTTATATTGCAATATCTATTATAATTTACTATGTATCAATACTAATTAAAGTTCACTTTTCTGTTATAACAATTTACATGAGTTAATATTATGTCCTTGCATATGACAATTAGAATAAGTATATCCATGCTTAGAACTTTCTTCTTAATTTGAATTCTTATTAATAGTTCATAATGATCTTTTGCTTTCTAATTCTAATATTTTTTTTGCCTTAAACTTGGTCAACCTTTAGTTTGTATAACATTTGAATTAGTAACTTGAATAATATTTTCTTGGTTATTTTCTTGATCATCTTCTTGATCATCTTCTTGATCATCTTTTTGAATATTTTCTTGATTATTATTATTTTGATCCAATATTTTATTAATATTTGATTTAGAAGTTGTAAATGAGACTTTTAGAATTTTTTTTTGTTAAATAAACTGATAATACTAATTATTTACTTTTTCATTCATTTCAGTTTCTATTGCTAAAGTTAAAACTGATTGTAATAATCTATAACTTTTACAATAACATATTCGATCTTGAAGAAACTTTTTATTTGGCTTTTTATATCCTAAAGCTTTATGTATAAGAGTAAGTTTTTTAAATTAATTAAATAAAATAAGTTGATCAGATAAAGTAGATGCAGGTGTAATTACAGATATAGATTTATTATAATGTGGTCAAATTGCTGAAATATTATCAAAGCTTTTTTCCAGTTCATTAAGATAAATATCTTATACTAGTGTTGCATTATAAAAAAGATATAAAAAATAACTGTACTTGATTTCAAAAAAATAGCAAAATAATGTCAATATAGAATTCTATAGCAAATAGGCCAAGTATATATGCATAAAAATGATCTATTGTAAAATAAGATAATATAGTGAATATTTATTGAATCTGTAAGTCTAACAATATGCCAAGCTTCTTTAATACTATCATATGATATATTATATAAAAGTAAATTAAGATGAATTTGTTGTAAATCATAATCATCTTTAATACAAGTATTTGTAAAATCTGGTTTATTAGCATAATATTCTCTAAAATATTAAATAAAGAATATTGATACCAAAGTATTTGTTGAGTTTGTTGCTTTATTTTAGTAATTATATAAGATGTAAGATATTTTTCACATAATGCAATAATTTCAGAAAACAATATTTGACTTATTAATTGTGATCTACAATTATTAAAAGTTAAAGTTTTCTGAGAATGACTATATCTATTTTCTTGATCAAGTTATTCTTGAATTGCACTATATAACTTGATTAAAGTTGATGATTGATTAACATATTTCTTAATAATATTATTATAATATTCTACACATTAGGTATTTTGAATACTAGTATTAAAGATCTGTGTTATAAAATAGCAAGCCTAATTTTTTTTTAACTGATAAAGTTTTTTTAAATAATATTCTATATTAGGATATATTTTAATTAGCTGCTGATATCTACTTTCAAATACAGATACTTGTAGTGTATTCTATGCAGTATAAAAGCTGCTTATAAACTGATTATACTGTTCACTAAGCTTCAATCAAGCCTTTTTTTAATAGTATTACCAATATAAAATATACAAAGATAGTAGTAAGTTAATGAAAAACTTGTAGAAATCACTGCAGCTATTGCATGATCTGAATCAAAAAAAATAACTCCAGGTTTGTAAGCAGGATTTTTTTTTTTAAGATATATAAAAAGCTAATTAAAAGAGTCTATGGATTCATCTGGCAATAATGCTTGAGCAACTAATCTGCTTCTTGTATTATTATCAACTACAATTATCAAAGCTAATGATCATTGATATCAGTTAGTTTTATATGTTGTATCCAATAAACAAATATCATTAAATCTTGATATTAGCTATACTTGTTTATCTGATTGCCAGAAAATATCTCTAAGTTTATTATCAATATTACCAATAACAGGTTTAACTACACAATCAGTGTCTAATATTTTTTGTTATAAAAGATAATTCAATAAATCAGCTACATCATTTTTAAGTCTTTTATTTGTATCTTTTAATCGACTTATTATATTATAAATATTTCATGGCTTAATAGGATGATTAAGATATTTATTTTTGAATAAGTTAATTATTTTACTAGGTTGAATATTATATTTGTAGTATAATTCAACTTTATTAATTATTTTATCAGTTAATCAGTAATATCTTGGAGCATTACTTTTGATATTACTATCTATTAGATAATTGTGAACTGAATTATCATCAAATAAAGAACAGCGAATTTCTGTTGCTGTATTATCAATTAAAAAATTATAATGCTATTTACAATTTGTAACTGCTGCTTCACGATTATATTGATCATCAGGATCTATTTTTTTTTAGGTTGCTATTGTCTAGACAAATAATATACTCAAGTTGTATTCCATATCAACCCATCATTATGTATATGAGTACATCTCTTTCTAACCACAAATTCACATTCTATCATATATCAGTTAAGTTTTCTTCCAATTTTTTTAAATGTTTTAAAAGTATCATCAATATATATATAATATAAATATTTATACTGATTGTCAGTGTCTATACTATTGCTTTCAGAATCTGACAATTCAAACAAATTTGAATTTTTGATTTGAAGTTGTGAATAGTAGTTATCTTGTTAACTATCAAACATAGGTTCTGAAAAGATTGGTAAGTCTATATTCATAAGATTTAATTCAGAGTAAAAATTATGTTTCTAAAAAGAAAAAGAATTTATAGTCATTAAGTTTAATACTACAAAAATAACATCACCTACATTGTATCGAATTAAAATATACTATTTGATATATCAATTTTTTTTTAATTTGAATTGTATTAAAATTTAACTAACCAAAGATAGCCCACTTCTAAAAAAATCAGACAAACCAGTAATAGTACTTTCAAGTGTATTATTCACAGACCAATAAGCCTTAAATAATATTAAATTTGTATAAGAAATGCTTATTATCTTTGTTAACCATATTATTATCTAATTATTGACTAATCTGGTATTAGTTTAAATTAGTGTTATTAGATAAATTATCACTTATAAAAGAACTAGTTTTATTTATATTAAAGGAATATTGACTTAAAAAAGTAGATTTATTCGATCTAATATTTTTATATAAATTATTATTGGAAGAATTAGCTAGCCTGGAATAATGGGTCTTAAATAAAGTTTAATTAGTATAATTAATATCCTTGTTGTAATATTTTAATAGTAACGTTGTGAAAAAAAATCTAACTAACTTGAGGTAGGTATAAGCTATGATTCAAATAAGTCAAGATAGGGCTTTATAAGGTGTCTCTGCTAATACTCTTTCTCTTTCTAAATCAAGCTCAGTTGCTTCAACACTTTTAGATAAAATAACTGTATCTTTAGAGAAACCAGATTGTTTATTATGTATATTAAAAGAATAATAGGCCTTTAATAGTATTGAATTAGTATTAACTATGTTAACTACTATGTTGAACCAATTTTGACTAATATTTCAACTAATCTAAAGTGGCTTTAACATAGTATTTTCAGGAGAGCTAAGCACTTCACGACTATAAGCTAACATATATGTCTTTAATAGTACTAAATTAGTATAAACATTAATCAAAGCTATTTATACCAAAATTCCAATATCTTACTATCATTGTTACAAGTATTAAAATTCATTACAATAAAAAAATATCATGTTACCTAAAAAAAAACCTTTATAGTCAATCATGATCAGTTTCATATGAATATATATATTAGTCGATCATAATCAGTTTCATATAAACATATTTGTAAGACTTTTTTTGAAAAAATTAAGTAGTTATAGTTAACTATTTACTATTATGATTAACTATAACCACTGTTTCAAGATATATTAATTCTTAAAAAACTATCATTTGTGTTTTAATAAAAAAAAATTTTCAAAATAACCTTTCTGCTAATTATCAAAACACAAAATTTTTGAAAAACAAAATTTAATTAAAACTTAAAAAATACACAAGAGTCACTAAGAAACTAATCTCAAGCTTCTAAGTAAAGAGAAAAAAGACAACAAGAAACACTCAGTTTCTTAAGAGATTTGAGTAAGAAAAACAGAAGCAGCAAAAAAATAGAAGAAGTTGTGAAAAATCATTGATATTTTTTTTGCACTTTGCAAACTTTGGAGAAATTAGCCTTGACCCTGAATTGCAGATCTGTTTTGATAACACAAGGATCACAATATGTAATGGGAATAAACAAAAAAAATATGACCAAAACTACATGACAAAAGTAAACAAAAATGGTAAACAACTACAACAAACAACAACAACAAACAATATTAGTCAGAAAACAACAAGTTATGTGAAGCAAAATAATAACAGAAAGTTCTGGAAGAAACCTGTCATAGCAGAATTAGCAAAGATAAAATTAAAAGAAATACGTGAAGATGTAGAAATATATAGACAAAGTTATATTAACTCTGACACACTAGAAAGTTTAAAAGAAGTAATAGCAGATATCCAGGGCTTTAAAACAACAATATCTGATGAAATAACAAACACAACAATAGAAGAAAAAATAGCAGAATATGCTGGGCAAGAGCTCATCTCAAAAAAAATAGTTAACAAGTGAATAGTAGAGCTTTACGAAGAATTATAGTACTATAACATAGAAGAACTTAAATATACAGAACTTGCACTTATAGAAAAAGAACATGAGGTCTTTTACAAAGTAATTCAAAAAGAAAAAGACCCAGTTAATTGTATTATAATAGAAGAAATAGTTAGTTATATAGTAGAACTAAGAATAGCTGATGGAGTTAGAAGATTATTAGTAGAAAGAGAAATATATCATGCTAAATTAAAAGCGAAATTAGAAGTAGGTTGAAGCAAGAAACTCCAAGAACAAAGAAAAAGCTAACAAAAACAGCTCAACAAAACAGCTCTGAATTCTACAATACTTCAATTTAAAGAATTTGTCAAGACTACAGCAACAAACTAACAAGAAACAAGAAGATTATTAGTAGAATGAGAGAAACAACATGTTGAATTAAAGGCAAAATTAGAAATAGGTTGGAGCAAAAGTCTCCAAGTACAAAGAAAAAGTCAACAAAAACAGCTTAACAAAATAGCCCAGAATTCTACAATACTTCAACTCAAAAAATCAGTTAAGACTATAGCAACAAAACAACAAGAAACAAGAAAAGAAATAAAGAAAAGAAAAAGATGCAAGTTTAATAAGAAAAAAAGCAAGCTGCTAAAATAAAAACAAAGTTAGATATAGGTTGGAGCAAGAGACTTCAAGAACAAAGAAAAATCTGACAGAGGTAGCATAATAATTTAGATTTAAGAACTCTATTAACATATTTTAAAGTATCTGTAGAGTTTATCCTAATACACCAGAAAAGAAAAAGAAGAAAAATTAGAAAAAAAAAGCAAAATAAAAGCAAAAGACAAGACATTCCTGGTTTTATAGAAGCTAAAGCACTAAACAAGATTCAAGAGGAATCAAGACCAAAAATTATAGTAAAAACTCTAGAAGAATAATTAACAGAAGTATTATACTAAATTAGCATTAAAGATGACTCACAATATAATAAGAAAATGTGAAAAAAGATGAAGAAAGATCTGTTAGCAAAATAGATATATAGTTTGAAGTCCCAATAGAACTTGAATATGAATTCGTCTCAAAGCACAATAATATCCAGACTGAAGAGTATCAAAAATTGGACAAAAAAAAAGAAGGATACATTATTAGAAATATTAGAAAAGTCTTTGTAGAACATCTCAAAAATCAGAAGATCTTTAGTAAAATACAAGAAAGATTCTTGAGAAGAAAACCAAGTTTTAGAAAAAAAAGAAAAAAAGCAGGAAATTTAAGAAAGAAAAGAAGAAGACTCTTATATCCAAAATACGAAAGGAGAAAAACTCATACAGATTGACCAAGATCTCGAAAGAAAGAAACCAGAAAAAGACTTAAGCTTCTCGAAGAAAAAGAGAACGTATAAAAAGGTATTCTTAGAAAAAACTATTAGAACAAGCTCCCAAGAAGAAGAAAGAAAATACGAAGGTACAAACTGGAAAGAAAAAGTTTTAAAAAAGAATATAAGAAGACTCTTAAGACCCGGGTCTCAAAGCGGAAGGAACAGGTTGAATTGAAAGAAAAGGAAAAGGAAAATGAAATATAAATATGAACAAAAGAGGTTTGGCAATAATTTTGTATTAGAAAAGAAAGTTATTCGATTTATTCTTAGAAAACTAGATTTAGAATTTTGTGTAAAAAAGGAGGATAGTTTAGAAAGAAAAAATTGCCAATATAATATAATAAAAAATTCATTTGTTTTGAAACCATCTTGTAATGATTTCTTAGGCTAGCTTGGTATAGCCCTCCAGTATAGGCAATAGCCTTAACCAGTAAGGCAAACCGTATTTGGGCACCCCTAGAGGCAGCTGAGTGATATCAGATCTGTAACTTAGATAGTTTAGATATACTTTGTATATATGCTTTGATCTAATAAAGAGACTGGCAAGGCTACCAATATATGCAAAAAAAATAAAATAAAATAAAATAAATTTTTGTAAAATTTTAATTTAAACTATATTTTATCTAACTTTAATTTTAGCTTTAATTGGTGATTTTTCTGTCAACCAGAAAAAGAGGTTATAGTGTAATATAACATGGTTTATATATAAAAATTAGGATTTTGTAAATATAGGCTGCATCATTCTAAAACTTTTTTTCATACTAATTTAACTACCTTTAGTCTTCTAATTGAAATTGTAGAGCTCATTGAGAGAAATCTAATAGTAGTTAAATTATTAAAATTGGTCTTGTGAATTATGAGATATCTTCAAAAAATATTTTGCTAACTATGTAAAATTCTCTTTTAATAATAGTATTGTTAAAGAAGAATTTTACATAATTGACAAAATGTTTTTCAAAGATATCTCATAATTTACAAGACTAATTTTGATGATTCAACTACTATTAGATTCCTTTTAATAAGCTCTACAACTTTAATTAGAAGCCCAAAGGTAGTTAACTTAGTACAAAAAAAAGGTTTAGAATGATGCAGTCTATATTTACAAAACTCTAATTTCTGTATATAAACTACATCATGTTACACTATAACCTCTCTCTGGCTAACTGGCAAATCACTAATTAATCTAAATTTAATTAAAAGGTTTAATTTTTTGTAAAGAATAGATTATTTTAATTTATATATTATACCAATTTTATGTTTATCTATAAAATAGTACTATAATAATATTTTCTAAAATTAATATTTAACTAAAATATTTTTTTTATTAAAAATTATTTTTAAAATTATATATTTTTGGTTTATAAATAATAAAATTTTTTCTTATAATCTAAAAATAAATACTACAAAACAATAATTTATATTTTTAAATATTATTATATTAAATTTTATTTAAATATTTTAAATATTAAAAAACATAAATCAAAGCTAATTTTATAGTATTTAAACAAATAAATTTGCTTGCTAAAGTTTACAACTTAAGAAATATAATATCAGTCAACCGATTTGTTATATATTTTATATATACAGTATTATATATATAAAATTATAACAAAAATATATAGAATTATATATAAATTTTGTTGTGATGATATTTCTTCATTTACATATTAACTTTAAATTAAATTTTACGAATAAATATATCAAGAAAAGATGAAAAAAATGTGGTTTAAGCTGAATTAAAATTTTGTAATTTTGATACAATTTAAAAATATAACTTTGTCATAAGAAAAATTTAGCAAATTTAAAATAAAAATTATATGTAAAATTATATTCTAAACAACTCTAGTTAGAGAATAAAAAAGAGTTATCTTAATAAAAAAAATATTTTCTATGTACTAATATCAAAATTTTTAGTTTTTCTATATAAACCTTTTTTTTGTTTAAATAATCTGTTCTGACCTCTTAAGCAAATTTGTTTAGCACATAATTCTATATATTTTATATTTTGCTGATTTTGTTTTTTTGAACTTTTTATTAAGTGAAAGATTGAGTTAAAGATTACACAAAAAACTTTTTTTTTAAAATTTTTTAATAGACAATATATCTGTCATCTGGAGAGGATTTGCAAATTTTTATAAATAAATTTTACTATTGAGCCAAATGTAAAGTGCTTCAATCTAAAACTTTTTTTTTACTAAATAAATTACTTTTGAGTTTCTAATAAAAGTTGTAAAGCTTATCAAGACACATCTAATAGTAGTAAGAATATTAAAATCAATCTTGTGATTCTTGAAAAATCTTTAAAAACTATTTACTGATATATAAAATTTCTTTAAAAAAAATTAAATTTTTTTAAAGAAATTTTATATATTAGCAAAAGGGTTTTTAAAGATTTTTTAAGAATCACAAGCCCAATTTTAACATTTTTATCACCATTAAATACATTTTGATAAGCTCTACAACTTTTGTTAAAAGCCTAAGAGTAATTTATTTAGTAAAAAAAAGTTTTAGATTAGAGCACTCGACATTTGGCTCAATAGTAAAATTTATTTATAAAAATTTGTAGATCCTCTCCAGATGACAGATATATTGTCTATTAAAATTTTTTTAAAAAAATTTTTTGTGTAATCTTTGACCCAATCTTTTATTTAGTAAAAAGTTCAAAAAAACAAAATTGGCAAAATATAAAATATATAAAATTATGTGTTGAACAAATTTGCTTAAGAGATCAAAACAGGTTATTTAAACAAAAAAAAAGTTTTATATAGAAAAACTAAAAA